AAGAAAGTCTTGGTTTCTTCGGCGAGGGTCGCTGCCGAATCTTGCACGTTGTGGCGTGTACCAACAAAATCAATCGTCAACGTCTCATCGGAGGTTTCCCCACGGAGAAAGATTGCAAAACATATCAGCCAGGCGAGGTTGTCCAGGTCGCACGGCCTGCCGTCGCGAGGCCGACTGCACTCGAGGGAGATGCATCGACATTTACAGCGATCCCCGCTCGCCTCATCATCTCTTGGGTGAAAGCAACCAAGTATTTGAAACAGTTGAAGCAGGCCAGTGAGGCGAGCGACGCATGGAAAGAAGTTATCGTTGGAGAGCCGCATGTGGAGTTCAAGAAAGTTGGATTTGAAACACTTCGGAGAGCGAGGGTGCGGGCAGACATCACTGCAAATCTTGTGTTCCGTTCTTTCTGGGAAGCCCAGCCCGACGAAACAAAATGGACGTATGTGTGGTGTGACGCTTCGCCTCAGTGGAGAGGGCTTGAAATGTTCAGCGCCTCGTTTGATATATGTTGCCCGTCCCTCACGCAACGCCGTCTCTTCCCATTAGTTTCACTGCGGTTCAAAGGTACTGACCTGAAAGCCAAAGGAGTTGCGCTGTTGTGGCAGATATTCTTAATAACTGGGATTTGCTCTATGGTATCGTTTTGTTCTTCAATTCGCAGCTTGTGTACTGACATGGGCACTGAAAGGCTGATAGCAGACTTGCCAGGAACAGTATTGTGGGACTTTCTCCGCTTCATCGGCGCAGCCCCCCGAGGTCCACCTCCAGCAATGGTTTTCCCAAGAGCTGTTGTCATGCCTGGATGGAAACATTGCTGGGATCTGATGCTGAGGCGAGGCGTGTATCAACTACCATGGTCCCCTGGTTTCCTGAAGGGCCTAAAAGCAATCATCAAGTTCTTTCGGGAGAAGGTGGAAGAGATCGCGTTCCAGATAGAACAGGCAGGATTCAATGTTTTGGCCAGGGTGATCAAGAAAGCCAGGTTACCTCATTTCGCAGATTGGAGATGGACGTCATTACATTTTTGTTGCGAACCATTGTCGGGCTTCCTGGAAAGCTTCGTTCGACAATTTGATCCTTCACCTTTTCGGCAGAAGAGCAGAGAAACTCATTTTAAAGATGCGTGTGCTGCACTCGGGTCGGCTCAGTGGGTATCCCAATTTAAGTTCATCACGTGGTTTGCGAGGAGGTGTCACGAGTGCTCGGCTTGGGGGGGAACTTGCAACTGTCATCGTGCAGAGATCATGCAAGGTAAACAGATCACGTGTTTTCATAAGGGGAGGCTCGTTCGGGATGCACACAAGTTTGCCATGGACAACTTGAAACAAATGATTGAGGATTGCAAATCTTGGGACGTGAATGCTTGGGGGGCCGAGCTCCACAGGCAATGTGTAAGCTGCGTGAGAGCGACGTTCGCACTAGGGAAGGAGAAGCTGGAATTCCTTGACACTGTTCCAATTCTCCTCTGTCGGTTAGCGGAACCTGGAGTTCGGGACAGATGCCTCGCACAATATGCCACACCGGGTGACCACCATAGAGTGACGCACGAATTTCTGAGGGAGGGGTCTCGGCTTCGGGCGCACATTGACGCCATGCTGCCCGATGGGTCTAACATGTCCGAAGAGCTTGCTTACGCAATCAAGTCGCTGCAAGATATTCCACTTGATGACGCCGTAGGGGAAGCACCGCACAGCCGAGCTAAAGCAATCTATACGCACGCTCGTGCAGCGACTTGGCCATGGATCGCCTCGAGTTTGCGCGTTGATCAAAACATTGACGATATAACTAACATGTTATCTCATACAACTTTGTCATTGGAGGATGTTTGGCGACGGCCGTCGTCGATCCTGCAAGTTCGCCGAGAGAAGCGGTTCCAGCGCCGCAAGAAGATAAGTCAGAAAATGTTGAACCAACGAGTGTATACAATGGAGTATTTCCGAACTTTCGAGCTGTCTGATCCAGTGGACGTGCCAGATCCTGGCGACGCTGGCGATGGGCCAGATGACCAGGGACCTGGCGACGATCCAGGTGATGATGATATGCATGGAGGCGGTGACGATCAGCCTGATGGGCATGCTGGTGGCGGTGGTGCAATTCGGATGCTGCTGAAGGGGTACTTCGAGACTGCACTTAGCACGAATATTGGGTGCTACATGTCGCTACCAAGCCAGAAAGATGGGTCAACCAAAGATTTTTTTCAACTTCTGTCTTGCACGAATAAGAATGCGGTTGTAAAAACATTTCGGAAGAAGAAGGAGTTCGCGCTCAGGCTGACGGTGCAGCCGTTTGAGATATGGCAGGAGTATGCTGCAGGAGCAGTCGGCTCTGCTCAGGTCTTTATCGTTTCTGATCCACTTCATATCGACCTCTTCGATTTCATCAATGGCATCGGCGACAGGGACCAAACGTGTCGTTGGAGCCCGAGGCCGAGTGATATCGATGGCTGCTTGCTCTTGGACCAGCCTGAGGTTCTCAGGCCACACGTGAAGCTCTCAGATACGTCTGTGCCCGTCCTCAGCCTGATGGACGAGCTCCGCATGCTCGGTTGGGCCTCCGAGGAGAGGCTTGTCAGGCAGTGAGGCGCAACAAAAACAACAATAGATCGAACCAGAGAGGGCGAGTGACGCAACCATTCAAGGAGAGAGAGAGAGAGATAGGCAGCGAAACCATCCAGGTAGGATCAGCACCCCATCAAAAGAGTTCGAGCTAGCGCAAGACGGCAGGAGGGGAGAAGGAGGGGCAGGAAGAGAGAGAGGGGGGAGATCGAGCGATGGAGGGAGGGAGAGATGGCGAGAGAGAGAGAGGCATGCATACATGCAGAGAGCAGTGAGCCACTAAGGCGGCATCAGGCTCGGCATGGGCGTAGAGCGTCTGGGTCCAGGGCATTAGTTGAACATCGCGGAAGTAGGCGTAGGGGAATGGGAGGGGCGCACACTTTGAAGCAGATCCCCTCAGGCACGACCCAGGCTCGGCGAAGATAGCAGATTCCAGGAGGCCGTCATCTAAGAGATTTTATTATCAGTGTTTGGTGTGCTGGGACGATGTGTCCAAGACTGCGCCGCCCGACGTTCGGAGCGACAGGCCAGGATATTATTTCAAACTTCTTCTGAAAGGCAAGATCACGCCAGGTATCACGAATAAGGAATGCCGAGCGCTTCTTGCATGTGGGGATGGCGCTGCACCGCCCCTGCCCCTGCTTGACAAGGAGCCAGCTGTAAAGCCGCCCGTGGGTCCAGCCCCCCCCGCCATCATGAGCGATGATGACATCGCTTTGGACATGCCTGCAGGCCCCCTCCCACTTGAAGATGATCCGCCCGAAGGCGTCAAAAGCCCAGAGGCCCCAGAATTAGTAGAGCCAGACGGTGCTGCTGGCGAGCCCGCTGAGCCCGCAGGCCCTGTCCCAGTTGCTGATGCTGCAGTCGATGCTGCACCAGGTCCTTTGGTGCCCGAATATCCGCCCACGATTTGGGGCATGGAAGTGAGACTCGAGAAGCGGACGCGGAACGGCGCCGAGGAGCGCGGAATTAGGATGCGTTGCCCTGTTCATGGGGCAGCTTGCGGCAAGTACAGGAGCTTGAGGCTTGGTGTGGAACGTCACGGGCCTACAGCAGCTGCTCTTTTCCTTGCCACTTGGGCGTCGTTCGGCGAGTCCCGATCGGTGGAGGACCATCGGCGGCCCCCGACGACCGCTGAGATTGACGATTACATCGCAAAATACGGCGACGATACTCGTTGAGACTGAAAAGGAAACCAGATATTGACGTTCACCCATGCCAGCCTGAAATCGGCGATTCGTTGGGCGCCGACTGGGCCAGTCGATGTTCGAAGGAGCCCCCTGTTGACGCTTGAAAAAAAAACGCCAAAACGCTGTTGATAGCCAAACACACCTTTTTTTCTATATGAAAGTGATGACCCCCAAACTGTGTTGACACCCGCCGAAGCAATGTTGAAGCAATGTTGAAGCAATGTTGAAGCAATGTTGAAGCAATGCTGACGTTGGCCGAAAAAGTTGAAGCAAGGTTGAAGCAATGCTGAAGCAATGTTGAAGCAATGTTGACAATGACAGCGGAAGTTGAAGCAATGTTGAAGCAATGTTGAAGCAATGTTGAAGCAACCCCCAGGCGTCGAGGCAGCGTTTAAGCAACCCTCCAGGCGTCGAAACACTGTTTAAGCAGGCTCTGAGGTGTTGGAACAGCCGAGCACAGTCGTGCAGGGGTGCAGACAGCCACGACACTTGCACTTGTGTGGGGTTGGCGCTCTCTAGGAGGGGCGCTGCGCAAGCATGCTCTGATGCGCCCGTTGGGGTGCGCCTGTTGAGAAGAGGCGGTGCAGATGATATGAGTGGTCTACTCGATGAGGCGGAGGCTCCAGGAGGGCCCGAGGGAGGCTCGAGGAGAGGGACGTGGTGGGGGGAGGGCGACGAGGGGAGTAGGAGGAGTGAGGGGGGAAGAGGGGGCACTTACTTAAGGAAAACGCTGGGAACACGCGAACACCCAAACCAACCATAACATCCTGAACGGAAAATTGCTCGGGTACAATGCAGAAGGAAATCAGAGATCCAGAGTTAACTCAGAGGTCCAATCAGTAGCTCTTTGGCCCCGAAGGGATGCTAAGAAAAGACCCACCAATGGCTGCAGAAGAAGACCCTCCACCACCAGTTGAAGGCTCAGAATTGAGGGACAAACACACCCCGCGTGATTTTTTGTTTTCGGGGGGGGGGGGGGAGGGGACGGTGAGGAGGAGTAGGAGCGAGAGGGATGGGGGGGAGCACTTACGAAAACGCTGGAGAAACGCAAACGCCAAACATAAAAACATTATCCTGAACGAACAAATGCCCCGATACAATTCAGAGGGAATCCAGAGATCAAGAGTTAACATAACACATCCCATCAGTAGCCATTTTGGCCAAAGACCGTTGGTGTCACAAGTGACATTTCCAAGCCTCTGCTGCGCGGAGGTAGCCTATACTGAGAAGTACGGTGCTCGGGTCCGCTCCGATGGCGTCGAGGGCAAGCTCGAGGGCTCCGTCGGCGGGAGGTAGCGCGTTAGATGAGGATCTCTTCTTTGACGATGCTGTGATGGAGACGGGCACGTGCTACGCTTGCAACTTGGATGATGTGCTCACGAACCTCCCCTGCCGCCACGACGGGCACACCTTCCACCAGGGCTGCTATGAGGGGGTCAGGGCCCACTGGCGAAGCATGAGCAACTTTCCCGCGGCGAAGGAGGCCAACAAGCAGAACTACAAGAACGACCCCATGGCGTGGCGAGCTTCGGTGGCTCCGTTTCTCCCGAGCGCCGAGCCCGAGGTTAGGGCCCAGGCAGTGGCGAATGCGAAGCGGGAGCACGCGGAGATCGAGGAGCACGTGGAGAAGCAGTTCGACCAGGAGCTGGAGGACGACATGCTGCTCACCAAGTCGCAGTACATCGGCTGGATGCTGAACAACGAGGCGTCGACGAGGACACGCAGGGAGCTCGGGAAGGACTTCGACCGACTTGTGGAGGAGCAGGGGGACAAGCACAAGAACAGGAACGGCGAGAGCCGCGTGAAGCATGAGGGATATGGGACGCTGCGGAAGGGCAAGAGCAACGAAGCCAAAAAAGGCGTGCTGAAGGTCAGCGAGATCGACGTTGAGACCTACAGCCTCAAGCGACGGAGGTTGACTACGAAGACGGCTTCCACGGCTTGGTCAGTGTCAGGTTCGAGTTCGGGAGTGCTCAGCCCTGGGCCCGATGGATCACTTAGTCCATCACCTAGTCTTCCGACCGCTCGCCCCTCGGAGGTCTCGACGCCTGTGCCGCCAACGAAGAAGAAAGCTGGAAGCGAGCGCCAGGCCACCACTCCACCAGAGAACGACGAGGCTCTCTTGGCCAAGCCCCCCCAGGATCTCTCGGCGTTAGAGTTGCTCCGCAGGCAATCGATCCTGTCGCGGAAGATCGAGGATGCGCTGAACACCTTGAATGGCGCCGCAGGCGAGAAGACGAAGATGACTACCATGTCGGAGAAGCTGGCCAGTCTCGATGCCAAGCACCAGCTGCCCACCAAGACCGATGCGATCGCCAAGAAGGCCGACGACCAGACGGAGATCCTGAAGGAGAAGAAAGGTGAGGTGAACCATTCGACTGTGGAGAACTTGGCGTCGCTCGAGAGGTCCGCCGAGGTCGCCATCGAGCAGCTGGAGATCGCCAAGAGGGCCTGCAAGGACCACTACGAGGCCATGGACTTCGTATTCAAGGACAGGAAGGTCCAGGAGCGCAAGGTCTACCAGGCCGAGCACCACCAGATCATGAAGGTGAGCCTGAGGCCGAAACGCACCAGGCTTAAACATATGTGTTGGGTCCCTCTTTGAGGGGCCCAGGGCGGGCCCCTCGCGCTGGGACCCGAGACGGGCCCCTCTTGGCGGGGCCGGCTGAGGGGGGGGGACGACGGGCCCCATCGGTTGAAGATGGGGCCATCTTGGTGGGCCCAAGGCGGGCCTTTCGTGGTTGGACTCAAGACAGGTTCCTCTTAGCGGGCCTGGAAGGGGCTCTGTTGGATAGCCTTGGGGGTCGGAGCCAATGCGGGAAGGGAAACCCGAGTCCAAGATGGGTCCATCTTGGCAGGATCCAAGACGCCCCCGTTTTGGGGCCAGCCCAGGACGGGCCCCGCCCAAAGGGGTCCGTCTCGGATCCTGCCAAGATGGATCCGATCCTGGATCCTCGGATCTCGACTTTGCTGGTTGTCTTGGTTCTTGTTTCTCGCCCCCCGCAGGTTGCGAACTCCCTGATCTCGGGTGGCTTCAAGAAGAAGCTGGGGATCGCGGTTGCGAGAAACATCCGCGGCTACCCGCTGGCGGAGAATAAGCTGACCAACCACGCGCTGGGAGTTGCTGCCCCCGAGGACGACGAGGCGGAGTACAGTGGGGACACCATCCAGATCTTCTGCAGCGCGGGTACAACAATCGAGAAGATGGTCAACCAGTTCATGGCGGAGTCGGCCACGAAGATGGAGGCCAAGATCACGACCATGGACAACCTCATGCTCAGGGAGGCGAAGGCGCCAGGGGCCATTGGCCGCATCCAGAGCTCGTTGCAGACGTTCGACTTCGCGCCCCTCCCGAATGACATGACTCTTGATGCAGATGGTGGTGCGGACCCCTGGATGTTCACAGCTAGGTTCAACGCGTTCAGGTTTGGTGCAGCTGCAGTTCCTCTTCCTGGCGTAGGCTTCGTCATGAAGAATTGGGAGAGCCAGATGTACGTGGGCCTCTTCAAGATCGAGAGCCTGCTCGAGGACGGTATCGTGATGCCGAGCGCCGCGAAGTTCCTTGAGACGGACGACGGCGTCAAGTTTTTCGAGCGCTCCGAGTGGGTGGTGGTTCCGCCGAAAGGGATCTTGAGTGTGCCGTGGGGTTGGGTCGCGATGCCAGTGTTCTACGAGCCTAAGAAAACGACGGAATGGGGCCACGCTTGGTGTTTGGCGAAGCTCTCGGTGACGGAGGCCAAGAGGTGCGGCACGGATGTGCTGAAGACGATCAAGGCCTTCAACGATGACCACATGAAGGGCTCTGCGGCGGTGCCCATGTGGAAGGCCAGGGCGACGAAGTTCAGTCAATTTATGGAGTCCGTGTTGCAATGATCGGGGGTCGCACCACGGAGAAACGAGAAATGGGGTACGCACGAGCACACGGCACTCGTGATTGAGTCGCGCGCAGCGCGCACCGAGCAGCTCAGAGAGTTTGAACTTGCAACGTTCTGCGGAGGTGCAGGTAAACAAAGCATCGGAGGATAGAGGAAGGAGAGGAGGATGGATGAGTGAGGAAAGAGGTGGAGGGACTGATGTGAAGGGAGGCTGATGGGAGGAATGAGGACGGGGGATGATGATGGGGGGGAGGGAGAATAACAAAGAGAGGAGGAGAGAAACACAAGCTTTAGGAATTCAAGTTCAAATACGGTTTAGCGTACAAGAGTGACGAGAGGAGGGAGGTGGAGGGAGGGACAGGGGGAGGGGTGAGAGAGGAGAGGAGGTAGCTGGGAAGAGAAAAAGGAGAGAGGAGGGAGGAGAGGAGAGAAGGGAAAGAGGGAGTAGGGAGTAGGGAGGGGGAGGAGGGAGGACAGAGGAGTGAGGAGAGAGGAGGGAGGAGAGGAGGGAGGAAGGAGGCGGCCGTACGCCGACATGGCATTCATCGCGCAGGCGCCCTCCCGTGCCGATGGGGGGCGGGGGGGGGGCCGAGCGAGTGAGAGGAGGAAGGGAGCGATGATAAGGATGGTGAGGATGCTGGAGGTGGGAGGGTGATGATAATGGTGATGGTAATGATGATGATAATGGTGATGATGATGATGATGATGATACTGATGATGATGATGATGATGATGATGATGATGATGATTATGGTAATGACGATGGCGATGGTGATGATGGTGATGATGATGGTGGTGATGATGATGGTTACCGTCTTTCTCGTCGTTTACGTGTCATGTTGGCTTATCTGGCTGAAAGCGTGGTCTCGTTGCTCATTTAGGCTGATAGTTGCCTTTGTGTTTAAGGGTCGTCATGAGTGTTGAAGCCTTTTGGCATTCACCGCTCCCTCTGTTGCAATCGCGACCCTTCTCCCAAATGGACGGCACCCTACTGTCGACTATGATGTCGAGGCCCACCTGTGGGCCCGCCCAGCTGTCCAGACGCCCCGCTGGGAGCAAACAGCTGTTTATAGTTCGGTTGCTACTGAGCTGTGTCTTCGCAGATGCAAGGGCACCCTTGGGAAGGATGCCCATCCTTCCTACGCGGATTGATCGTAGGTAGAACCATGAAGCAGGAAGGCGTTGAAAGCAGATTGGGACCCCGCCCGTCGCTTGAAGGAAGAGGGAGGAAAGAGGGAACGCCACTCGACTCTTGAAACAGGAAGGCGCCGAAAGCAGATTGCGGCTTGGGCATCCGGAAACATCCACTTTCAACGACCGATGGGTAACTACACTGCACCCTCCTTCGTCCGCGAACTCTCTCGGATTGGCGCCGATCCAAGGGATCCGCGCGGAACGCCAAAAGTTTATGCCTATGCAGTTATATCTCTTCTTCTGGCAGGGTTCCTTGTGGTCGAGCCCCCTCCTGCATCTGGCTCGCGGGGAGCGTGTCTGTGCGGGTGTCCGCGGCCCTGCGGCCCAGACTTCTCTCGGCTGCGCTCCCCGCGGATGCGGGGCAGCTCTGCGCGGCGTCCAGCCCGCGAGGGCTCGGATGCGGGTCGCGGGCACTCTTGCCCGCCCCTCGTGGGCCTCCGCTCGTGTTCCGCGCCGGCCGGGGTCCGTGCGAGACCGGACCCGGCTGCCTCCAGACGGGACGGGGTGAGCCCAAGAGACGGGGTGGGCACGAGTGGGCATCGCAGCGGGCTCACAATCAGAAGAGGCATCCGGGCCTCGTCGTGGATCCTGTCATGGAGTTCTCTCCGTGCGCAGCAGCAAGTCGGGCATGGCCCGCTCCAGGAGGAGTACGCAAGAATAGTGCAAAAATGGTCCGGGACGCTTTTTCGTGCCCTCTTGACTATTTGTGCACACGTCCTGGTGCAAGGCTTACCTGACCTGACCTTTGCCTATGGTTGCATATGCTATGGCTATCTTTCTGCTTTCTTCCACATCCCCCTGTAGGAGGACATACCCGACCGAAGCGTAGCACGCTCTCTCAGAGCCCCGAATCATCAGGGGTAACTCGGGTCAGGGTTAACTCGGGTTCGTTTTTCGGGGATCCGAACCCGAGTCACCCCAGACCCGAGTTACCCCGGATAACTCGGGCGCCCAGCTCTCCCCTCCGCGGCCCCATCCTGCTGGCCCTTCTCCGGAGCAGCGCCCGGCCGCGGCGACGGGAGCCCCCCCCCGGGTCCGGGCCGGGCGTCTCGGCATCGCTCAGGCGTGTGCCATTCTTTGTTTCGGCCAGGATCATCGAGTTCGATGCTCGTTTTGGGGACCTTCCTGGGGGCCACCTAATGGATCTGTTCGACTCAGGTTCGACTCAAGTTCGACTCAGGTTCGACTCAGCTTCGACTCAGATTCGACTCAGGTTCGACTCATGTTCGACTCAGGTTCGACTCAGCTTCGACGCAGCTTCGACGCACGAGTGGAGCGAGTGGCTCCAGGAAGGCCCCCAGAACGAGCATCGAAATCGAGGAGCATGTTGGGCCATCTTGCGAACAGCATGCGCACGCGAAGACGACGATGCACGGGGACTGGGCGTCCGAGCGACGGCGAGGTGTGGCTGCGGCTGGGAGAGCGACAGGTCACTCCCGAGCGATCCGGAACGCTCTCAGAGCATCCCGGAACGCTCTCAGAAGGCCGCGGCGCCCGGCACGCCCTCCGGGACCGCCCGATCTCAGCTGAGAGGTCCTTTGACTGGTGTTCATCCGGCTTTGTCCCTGTCCCTGCTTCGTCTGCCGACATCGGAGCGAGGGAGTCCGCCGCGGAGCTCCGAACGGTTATTGCTATGCCGTCTGCTCTGGTTCTCGGGAGGGAGGGAGGGAGCTTCGCTGTTGTGAAAAACTCTGGGGTCGGTTCTCCCCGTCTTCCATTCTGCGCTTCTGATGGTACCAACCCATGATGAAAGCGGCACCCCAGAAATTGGGCGTCAGAAAAGCGCATTGTGATATGTCCAAGCGTATAAGACAGCATAGCAACGAAAACGAACTGAAAGCAGGCGGGTGGACCACGGGCGATCCCAGGCCCGAAAACGTAACAAAAACGGCGCCACAAACGTATCTGAAAGTTGTGCCCAGATCGGAAAAAGGCGGAGCCATCCCTTCCCACCGCCCGGCCCTCTTTTTCCCTCCAAGGCGGCAGGCCGAGTGTTGATGGCTCGGTATGCCGCGGCTTCTTCGGAGGAGGGAGGGAGGGAGGAGCCCCCCCGCCGCAGTGAGAGGGGAAGTTACGTTACATCTTCGGGGGGCCCCGTGCGCCCCCAGAATTGGTGTCGTTTCCTGTGCCCGACGCGGGGTTGATGCGGACTCGGCGTGGAGTTGAGACAGAGTCGATACGGATTCGACACGGACTCGACGAGCCCGACATGGATTCGACACGGATTCGACGTTGATCGATAGGGGCGCCACGGGACAGACAGGGTCCCCCGAAGATGCAACACAAGGGAGGTGCCCACACCTCAGCGACGGAGGACACCGGGTTCGATGTGCCGACATTGGCGCGCAATGTGCCCGCGCAAGGTCGCGCGCAAGCTCCCTCGTTTTCACTGGAGCGTCCCGCGCTGGCGGCCGCAGAAGCCGCCGCGTGAGGTCGCTATGCCATCTCGCTTAAGACCTCGTCGGCGAGCGAGGGGGGGAAGTGAGAAGCAGAAGGCCTTCTCAGAAGGTGTCGGGACTTCTCAGAAGGCCTCCGGCCCGGCCTTCTGAGAGGTTTCCTGCCTCTTCGGGACAGGCTTAGACAATTTCTCAGAAGGCCGGGCGAATCCCGAGCCTTCTGAGAAGGCAGTCTCCTTCTCACTTCCCTCCCGGGCGCGCCGTCGACTTCTGTCCGTCACCCAGGCGTCAGTGTCCCCAGCTTTTCCCAGCCTCCCGCCCCGCGGAGCGGAGCGGCGCGCTATCATCCGCCTGCAGGGCACAGCGTGTCGCTCGTTGGCCGCCGCCCCGACACGCTATAGGTGATCGCTGCAAGACAAACAGGGTCGTCTTCACCGACATTGGTGCGCAAGCTGCCCGCGTAAGGTCGCGCGTAAGCGCCCTCGTTTACAATGCAGCGTGCCGCGCTTGCGGCCGCGCACGCCGCCGCGTGAGGTCGCTATGTCATGTCGCGTAAGACCCGTTTATTCAAGAGGCTTATATACGCCATTCCGCCGACCCACAGAAGAGGCGGGGAGTCCACGGTTGAGGCGTGGGTTTCTTGTATATTATCTGGGGGTTATTGTGGACGTCTTGGTTGTGAACTATTATTGAGCCTGCAGAGCGGGAGCCACAGCGGGCCCCCCTGAGGGAACAGAAGTTTACACGCAGATGTTGCAACCAGTGGGTGTGAGGGATACTGACTCGACGAGGGTCGGTAGCGATCGTTGCAATGGTTCTCGGGGCCAGGTTAGCGTCCCGCAGGGGTGTCTTACGGCCTCTTGGGTGTCCCGGGGGAGTACGGGACACGACATGCTCGAGGGGTGTGCAGAATGGAGGCTCGCGCAGCCCTGCGAGGGTAAATCACTCGTGTGCTCACGCGTCCCGGGGCATTGCCAGACAGGGAGTGCGAGACGCGACGACGCGAGACCTCCGTAGCGTTCGGGGGCGCGGACCACGCGTACGTTTCCGTGCCCAGGGAGCTGTGATGCAATCCTTGCCCTGAGGAATGTGCGAAACCCTTCTTATTATGCCTTAGTCATGCCATCTCATCCTTCTCCATTTCGTCATCATCATCAACAACATCATCATCATCATCATCATCCTCATCCTCATCCTCATCATCATCATCATCATCATCAGCATCATCATCATCATCATCCTCAACCTCATCCTCATCCTCATCATCAGCATCAGCATCGGCATCGTCATCATCACCACCGCCACCGTCACCATCACCATCATCAGCATCATCACCAGCATCAGCATCAGCATCAGCATCAGCATCAGCATCAGCATCAGCAGCATCATCATCATCATCATCATCATCATCATCATCATCATACACGGGGGTGCTATAATTTGGGCCATAAA